CAAAAAAAAAAAAAAAAAAAAAACAAAAAAAAACGGGGGGGGGGGGTGAGGGAAGAAGACACAACAATTAGAATTCCTTGAAGTTGATACAAGTGAACAGACATGAGGTTGCTGGGAGGGAGGGGGGCAAGGGAGGGGGGAGGGAGGTTTCAGTAAAGGGCCACGATAATCAACCACATTGTATATTGACAAAATAAAATAAAATTTTTTTAAAAAATCACAAGTAAATGAAATAATGTCTTAACACTCAGGAAAGAGTCTAATGCTTAAGAAAACAGAATTTAGTTTCTGAACATGTTCAGTTTCACAATTCATGCGAGACTCAAAGACAGTTTAAAAGAAAAGCTCTCATCTATAACTGTCATTGTCTACAGATTTTCCTCACAAAGTTTTTCCAAATGTAATAAAACAATGGTCTTTGAAAATTTGTCATAAAGTCTTTCTTCTGTAAATACACTGAACAGAGGTTAACAAAAGCCTGACTTTGCCTGTCATAAACCTTATTTGTTTGATTAAAACAATATACAGTCTTTTGATTACACAGCCATTTAACAGACCGTGAAGAAAGAGCTAAGGAATAAAGTGAATAAGGCTGTCCTAAAAATACATACCACAAACTAATTTTATTCTTTGAAAGCAGAACGATAAAGAGAGAAAGTAGTAATTATTACTCATGTAATACAGAATCATTACATGATTCTATAGATATAGAAGCAGCCATTTTAACTAGGCAATACTCTGGCACAAGAACACTGACAATATACAATGGACTAAACGATTCAAATGGGCAAATGATAAAGGTTGACAGTATTGGGGTACTTACTGGGACAATCACACAGGTATATACACGGTAATACGCAAATGAGCCAAAAAGTATTACATACTGGCTCTCGGCCTAAGAACCACACGATGTCCTATCAGTTACCAAACAGAGCTATAGGTTTCCTTAAAAAGGAATAATTCTGATGTGCCTCCAGACTCATATTAATTTACCAAGTATTTTTCAATTGCCTAGACCTGAACAGAGATAAACAGAACAAGGAGGATCCTTACAGGAATTAACCAGCTAATATAGACACTTGCCCGATTTCCTTTGATGCTGGTAACCTATTCACTGAATAAATATATACTCAAGGGCTATTTTTTCAGTAGTGGAATTAAAACAACAGTGCAAATTTGTTACATGGATAGGCGGTATGCCTTCTGGCAAATGATATTTAGTGGGACAATAAAAACTATGTTGAGACACCCATTTCTGCACTTTAATACATTTTTTCGATGATTTATTCTCTGCAGATACATGAAACATAAAAGTCATACTGGTTTCTTGCTTCTCAGTACTGTCTCTCTAAAAGAAATAAATGGAAGAAGTTGAAATAATTTATAAACCTGATGCCTTGATTTTTTTAAATGTGAATCTTGGTTTTCCATAAAATCATCATTTAATGGCAAATAAATTCCATACTACCTGCAAGAACAAAGGGAATCTTCACACAATGACAAGACAACACTCTTCAAAAAGATTTTAGATTTTTAAGATTTAAATATTACCTTTTTAGATAATACAGTCACATGCTAGTCTGATTTATTTTAATGAACAAACGTATATTCAAGCTACAAGTCTCCGAATTAAACCTTAAAAGAACAAGGTATAAAACTTAACATCTATGAACAGTTTGAAGATTGGGTTCAAAACTGGGTTCTGGCATTAACAATTAAAAATCCTTGGTTCTTTTTATACTCTCTGAAAATGTTTTCTCATCTGTAAATAAAGTGGTTGAATGAGATCATCTCTAAGGCACATTTTAGTTCTTGTTTCTACGATAGTCTTATAGAACAAAGCTTTCAAATTTAGTAACTAATGTATGACTATAGAAACTGGCATTCCCTAGCTTCCCACAATTAAACTAAAAATCATAATAACAGCATGCTATTCGTTTTACAATTTATATATTTATTATAAAACATTCTTTACTATATCATTTAGAAGAAAGACATTATATTTAGATGGCCCATTAATTTTTCTTTTTTTTTTTTTCGTCTTTTTTTTTTACTGACCGGCAACGGGATCGCAATCCTCAGCATCGCGCCCGCACCGCGCTCAGCCAGCGAGCGGGAACCGGTCTCCACATGGGATCCGAACCCTCGGCGGGAGCACCGCCGCACTCCCAAGCGGCGCACTCTCCAGTGCGCCACCAGGCTGGCCCTAATTTTTCTTTAATAGCAACATATCTCTTCAGGTTAGTGAATAACCTAAGTAGAAGCATAAATTATCCCTCTCATTTTCAAAAGTTACCTTGCAAAGAAGTAGGTTATGGAACTTCTGATAGATACTTTTTGTTAATGAATTATTAAAAGTAAACCGCTATAATAATTCACCATAGAGTAAGCTGCACAATTATTTATCCTCCAAAATAAACCATAACATTTTTCATTTCCCCTGACTTTATTAAAACTATAAAGAAGAAACAGAGAAAGAGACAGCCATTGGGGAAGAGGGAGATGGGAGAGGATGAAACATTCAGGTAAAATGACTTTTAATATAGCTTGAAAATTCTCATTTAATTAAAAAACCAAAGGAAAAAATTGGACGTGATACCTAAAACAAACATGATAATGCATTTCCGTGTTATGGCACAGAAAAAAACCCTGCAGATCTTATAATATTCTTGCTGTGTGAAAGCATTTGTTTTCCATTTTTATCTTGCATTTAAAGTCTTCAAAAATGCTGATGACAGCAGAGGATTTTTAAAATGTCCCCCAAAAATGGCTTTTTAAAAAATCTTCAAACAGCTTTGAAAATATTTACCAAACAAAATATAAACAGCCTTCTGTCTGTAACTCAGAAGTTAGAAAGTAAATACTTTCACAGAGCTTAAATTGTAATAATTTTAAAAGACTACTTCTGAATACTTTTAAAAGCAATTGCTTAATCTTTCCATATTATTAACTCGTATTAACTCAGAATCTATTCAAACTGAAAGAGATTTTAATGAGCCAGAGAATTCAAGTGACTCACCATGGTCCAATGTTTCTGTGTTCTTTCCATAACACCATGGATGGAATTTAGAAATCAGCAAAAAAGAAAGAAAGAAAGAAAGAAAGAAAAATAAAATAAAATAATAATAAATTAACAAATTTATGTGTTTTATCACCAAATCTTGTAAGAAATTATTCATTACCGATTAAAATGTAGTGACGGGAATTTACTGAGTATGCAAAAGCTAGCACTGCCAAATTACTGGCTTGTTGTAATATGCAAGACATTAGAAAACTAAACCAAAATTTAATATGAAAGAATATGAACTACTCCTCTCAGTGAGATTGTTCATCACTCTACCAGCCCCTTAAAACCTCTCCTCCTTTTCCTCAAAACAATAAAGCACTAACAATTACTTCCTAACTGTGGTAATAAAACACTATGGGGGAAAAGAACGGAAACTTAGCTTATCCAAAATTTGCCTATAAGCAACATCTTAGTCCACACAAACTTGACTATTTTCTTGATTCCTTATGTGAATATAATACACATAAAAAATGAACCTAATAAATGACCAATTCAAACCCTGTAGACGATAAATCTAAAACCATATACACTGACATCGTTTGATATATACTCTCTGACGAAACACACACAGCTTAACAAAGAACACGTAATGTACACGAGTGCTAAATACGTTATATCTTTCAGATATACTGAGCTGAGAAAAGGCAGAAAATAGTTATACTTATTTTAAGAGGAGAAGTTTTCCATTTTACACAGTAGCATTTTATAATAAAATTCTGATGCATCTGTTTCAGGATTCAAAAATATTTTTTTGTTATAATTTTCTATCCCCCGCCCCCAAAACATGAAGAAAATCATTTTCTTGTTGAAATCTTAAGGAGCATGAAAACAACCCGATAAAAAGCATCACAAAGTCAATAAATAAAAAGATGAACTACCCAACTATTTCACCAATGTTTTTTTAATGTAATAATTTTGCAAAGAAGAATGGCTCAACAAAATATATACTCTACATAAGCCAGTGAGGGTGCAGACTTTCAACCCACTTAACCGAGGGACTATTTCAGTTTTGAAAAGATCATAAGCTTCTAAAAAAATCCAGGCTGGTTGAATTTTTGTGGGGCAGGAATGACATACTGCAGAGAGACACGCTCATGAATCAAAACAGGATGAAGAAGAACAGTGTTGCTCAAAATATTGCATAGGGCTGTTGTGGCAGGATTTATTTGCTGTCCCCCGGAAAACTGCAGAAGCTTCCTATTATCAACCCGCACTTGGAGCATGCTCTTCGGGTCTGTCTTGAGGCATACCCAGAGCAGACTCTGGAGGATTTCTAGGATTTTGAAAATAACTTTTAATAGACACTACATCAGTTCCCATACTCAGTTCATTTTACCATTTAGATTTCCTTCCACTACCGCATGTTCGCGTATATTCACCATGCTTTCCACAAAGCTCTTCAGGGTCTTCAAAGCTGGTGAACACATCAGTCTCCCCACGATCGTCCACAAAGCACCTCCCAGGCAGACCGTGTGACCCCACCCGAGTGTGCCCTGGGCGCGACGTCAGCTCCACGGCCACCATGAGGCGCCGCTGCGCTGGCCGGTCAGCCGGAGCTTCGCGGAGGAGGGCCCCGGGCGCGTCCGGCGGCTGTGGACAAACACCTGCCGTCAGCTCTGGAGGAATGTCACTGAACTCATCTGAAACACACACCTTCCATGCGAAATTGATGGAAGAAGAAGGCTCCCGCCTCACTTCGCACCACAGCCTGGGCCCGCCGATGACCCCCGGGCCGCGGGGCCCAAGAACAACTTTGAAACGCACAAGCAGAGCATGCGGCCCTTCCCGACCCTGGCATGAAGCTTTGTGGCGCTTCCAAGGAGGGACACCGCCGCATGCCGTGTGCCGCGTGCCCGTGCCGCACCTTCCGCCCTTCCCCGGACCCCAGTGCACCGCGCACTCGGTTACAGCCGCCAGCAGGCCCGCCCCCGGGCACTGAGGGTCGGCCTCCATGCCCACTCTTGCCTCCCCTCCACCGACTCTCGCAAAATGCGTCACCGCTTCCACTCTGGTTATAGAAAGGACAGCCATTCCACTGCAAAATCTTCTGAACATTATAAATGGAATCATCACTCAGATAACTAACCCCTTCTAACCTTTTTGGTATAGATACTCTGTCTTCTGCAATCAGGACATACATGCAGATATAGTTACATGTGTCATAAAATTGTAGCACAGTACACACACATCTTGCAACCTGAATTTTAGACGTAAGATATATAATGGACATTTATCCATGTTGGTAAATACAAATCTACATCAGCTGCATGACTAACAACGCGGTTCTCCATTGTATGGATGTACAATAATTTACTTAATTATTCCACAACTGACATTTAGATGATTTCCAACTTTTTGGTACTAAGAACACAACAATGAACATTTTTATGCAAAATACTTTTTCCTGTTTATCCAATTAGTTCCTCGCATTAAATTTAAAAAAAAAAGAACTGCTGTTGGTCAAAGGACATACATTTAAAAATCCTGGCATGTACTACCAAACTGGCCTGAAGAAAAGCTGTATCAACACACCCTCTCACCGGCGATGCTGGGTATTTCTAATCTGTTTTATCTGCAGCAATCTGATAGGCAAGTGTGTGAATTCCATTTTCATAGCCTTTGCATCTTTTAATTGGGTTTACATTTCTTGATTTTAAGATCACTAATAAGACCATAAGCCTGTGTCTGTTGCCTACACTGTAAATATCTTCCCAGTTTATCATTTGGCTTTTCATATTGTTTATGGTGCTCTTTGCCCTTACATTTGTGTCAAACGTACTGACCTTTTGCTACTTCTAAAGTTGTGCTTTCAAACACATGCTTATCATGTTTCTGGCACTTTAATGCTATCTGCTTTTACAGATTTAATTATCTGACTCATTTGGAATCTACTCTGGAATACTGAATATCTAGTTGACACAATACTGTTTCACTGAACAATCTACTGTTTTCTCTACTGACCTGAAATGCCATTTTTATCTTAGACAAAAATTCCTATTCTTGCCTGAATCTGTTTCTGGACCTTGTGTATTTTGTCCCACTGACCTATCTTGCACCTGTAACAGTGATTTAATTTCTGTGTTATGTTTAAATATCTGAATCAGACAATCAATCTTTAACAAGTTCTCTTAGCCATTCACTCACAAGTATTGCTCCAGATGAACTTTAAAAAATCAGATTCTAAAAATAATTCTACTGGAATTTTGATGGGAATGATTATTGTCTATTCCTAGCCACTAGAATGTAAGTTCAAGGAAAGATGGGTTTTTGTCTGTTCCATATACTGTTGTATACCCAGCATTTAGAACAGTATCTGTGGCATACAACTGATGCTCAACACACATTTGTTAAATGAACAAATGCATAAATTACAATGAATTGCAAGGTAATTTTAGGATATTCAAAATATTTACAACATGAAATCGTCCCACCTATTCAAATCGTGTTTTATGACTATAAATAAGTGTTCAGCTATGTTCACAGGGGAAGTTCACATAACACAAGGGTACTTGGAAAAGTTCATGGAAAGATTCACATTATTTTTTAATTCTATTTTTCCATGAAATTTTGAAATACCCTCATATATCTTGAAGTCAGCACACTCAGCCTCTCTCACTTGAAATCATTCTCAATTTTCTATGTAGAAAATTTTACTACCTTCATATATGATAATAATTTTGGCTCTTACTCTTCAATATTTATGTGTCATTTATTTTAACTGCCTTACTGCATTTGCTGTAACTTCCAAAACAACACTGTTGAATAACAATGGTATTAGCAAGCATCTTTGTCTTATTTGTAACAAATGTGAAATTCTCTAGAGCAGTGTTTCCCAACCTGTCTCCCATTACTGCCCCCTCAGGAGCCTTTTTAAGTTTCTTTTCTTAATTGCCGCCCATGGAATTAAAATATTATAAATATGCTGTATATCTGTAGTATGTACTGTATACTTTATACATTAAGATTAAGATATTTCTTGTCCCCTCAAGAACTAATTTTCAATTATTGTTGAGATGCATGCTCTAGCATTTCAACATTACTATTAACTATTGATATTAATACTTTATTATGGTGCAGAAAATATTTCTCTATTGGTTTACTAAGAGTCTATTTCTAAAATTAGGAAATGGATATTGAATTTTATCAAACAGTTTTTCAGCATCTTTCAAGATACTTTTTTTCACCAAATACTATAGTAAATTAATGTAATACATTTCCAGCTACTGAGTCAGTCTATTTTCTAGAAACAAATATTACTTGATTCCATTTTATTAGTCCCTTAAACATTCCTGGATTTGATTTTCTAGTATTTTATTTAGGAGTTCTACATCTTTAGTTTTATTTATAATTGGTCTAGAATTATCTTCTCTTGTATCATTTCGTTGTTTCTGGTATCCAGAAGCATTCAGAAGTTCACAAATATGTTTGAGCATTTCCTATATCCAGAGAAGTATGCTTATCTCAGAGAAAGAACGTGAAGTTTTCCATACTTGTCATCTTGAAGTAGTGTGAACAGTGTAGGAATATTCCGTTCTTTGTTTTACTGGAGCACAGCCGTGCTCATTTCACTCCATGTCACCTTCGGCAGCTTTCTCACTACAGCAGCAGAACCGAGTAGCAGCGACAGAGACCACATAGTCAGGTAAGCCTAAACACTATCTTATATCTGACCCTTCCCAGAAAAAGTATGCCAGTCCCCGCCAGGTGATGGCAGGTCAACACCGTCTCTCCCAGCACCATCCTCACAGGGAACATTTTCAGCTGAAACTCCTTGAATTGTCTCTCTTGCTTTCTAGCACTGGTTTTTTCCTCACGTTGATGAGAACGTATCAGAGACTAGGAGAGAAAGTCAAAACCATTGGCATACATGATGGCATCTTTGTTCTGGAAGCCATAATATTGATACAAAACTAAGTAGATGATTCAAATATTACTTATGCTTAAAATAGGAATTCTAAAAACTGTTTCAGCATCCATTTCAGAAAATGAAGTTCTATTAAAAATCAGTATTAATGTATAAAATTAAGAAACTTGGTGCTTTGCTGATTTGTTTTGGCACTTTATAAGGATGTTTTTTTGTTTTTGTTTTGAGCAGTTTTAAGTTTACAGGAAAACTGAGTTGAAAGGACAGAGTTTCCATATGCCTCTTCACCACTACTCGCCCCCCTCCATTTCCTCTATTGTAACACTTTGCATTAGTGTGGTACATTTGTTACAACTGATGAGCCAAAACTGACACATTATTAACTAAATTCCATAGTTAACATTGGGGATCTTTGTACTGTACATTCTGAGTTTTGATAAATATATAATTTATAATTATATGTATCCACCATCACAGTATCATACAGAATACTTTCACCGCCTTAAAAATCTGTTTTTCCTCTTTTAGCATATCAATTATTCTTCTTTCAGTGGCTGCCCTAGAGTCTACAACACACATTTAAAACTAAACCAAGTCCACTTTCAAATAATACTATACCACTTCATGGGTAAGAGAAGTGCTTTTAACAGTCTTCCCACTTTCTCCTTCCAACATTGCTGTCATCATTTTAACTGTGTAAAAGTTATAATCACCAGATACTTTGTTGCTATTATTATTCTAAATAAGCTATTATCTGTTAGATCAATTAAGAAAACGAAAACTTTCAAATATGTATTTTACTTTCATTTATTCTTTCCTAACGCTCCTCCTTTCTTTATACAGATCTGAGTTTCTGACACATATATATATATAGATAGGTAGGTAGATCTGAGTTTCTGGCATATATATATATACATATGTCATATATATATGTAGGTCTGAGTTTCTGGCATATATATGTCAGAAAAAATACACAGATATTTGGGAGGGGAGAAGAATTTCTTTTAGAGTTTCTTGCAAGGCAGGTTTACTGTTGACAAATTCCCTCAATTTTTGTTTAAGAAAGTATTTCTCATTCACCTGAGAAGTGTAATTTCACTTACATACAGAATTCTATGTTAATGGGTGCGACGGCTAATTTTAGGTGTCAAATTGCCTGGATTCAGGGATACCCACATAGCTGGCTATGTCTGTGAGGTGTTTCAGAAAGAGATTGGCGTTTGAATCAGTGGACTGAGTAAGGAAGATCTGCCCTCACCAGTGCAGGTGGGCACCATCCACATGGTTGAGGTCTGGACAGAACAAAAAGGCAGAAGAAAGGCAAATTCATTCTGTCTTTTGGGAGCTGGAGCACCCTTCACCTGCCCTCAGACATCAGAACTCCAAGTTCTCAGGCCTTCGGCCTCAAACTGAGAGTTATACCATGGCTCCCCTTGTTCTCAGGCCTTCAGACTTGGATTGAGCTGCACTACCTACCTGGTTCCCTGTTTGCAAAGATCTTGTCATGGGACTTCTCAGCCTCCGTAATCACATAAGCCAATTTCCTAGTAAATCACCCCCTACCTACCTATCACCCATCTATCATTTATCAACCTATCTACTCATCTGTCTGTCTATCTATATACCCATCTATCTATCTATCCGACTGGTTCTGTTTCTCTGGAGAATTCTGACTAATACCATGTTTTTTTTTTTCCTTTCTGCACTTTAAATATTTCACTCCACTCTATTCTTGCTTGCATGGTTTCTCAAAAGAAATCTGATATAATTTTTATCCTTGCTCCCCTATAGGTAAGGTGCTTTTTCCTCTGGCTTCTTTCAAGATTTTCCGTTTTTAATTTTCTGCAGTTTGGACATACCTGAGTGTGGATTTTTTATTTTTATTTTTTTGGTATTGATCCTGCTTGATGTTCTCTGAGATTCCTGGATCTGTGGCCAGTTGTCTATCATTAATTTTGGAAATTCTCAGTCATTAATGCTTCAACTCATTTCCACAAACACATCTTCATTCACAGGGCAATGGAGACTCATCCACACTGTGCCTCTCCCCTGTCCTCTGAAGCACCCACACTGTCCCTGTTGCAGGCCA